AATCCCATTTTGTCAAGATAGACATTGTATCAAGTTTGAACTTTAAAAACACAAGTAACATATATAACAAATTGTATATATTGCTATATAGTATATATAATAGTTATTATATATTCTATATAAATGTTTTTTAAAATTAAAAACAAAACTAAGAATGGAAAAAAAATGATCCTACCACTTCAACACAACTATTCTGGATTGATTATTTTTAAGTAATCTCAATGCCCAATGTGGAGTTTGAACTCATGACCCTGAGATCAAGAGTCACATGTCCTACAGACTGAGCCAGCCAGGTGTTCCCATCAACACAACTGTTTTTATGTTTGTGTTTTCCCTTCCAGTTTGAGTCCACATATACCTTTTTTTTTCTTTTATCTTTTTCAACATTTTAAAATGCCACCTTTCCCCCCCATGGCTTAGGTGCAAAGAGGTGGTGTTGGTCACCTTCTGGCTGGGTGCCCATGTGCTTGGATGCAGTGTGTTGGGATGACTGACAGAGCAACAGAAAGAAGGAAGGAGTAACTGTCCCTAGGTCAGCTTTATGATGTAAATGCTGAATTGGAACAACTGACTCTCTTGCATTTACCCCAAGTTTGTCATGTACCATGGAAGAAATGCAATTCTCCCGTCTACCCTACAATCCATAATTTACCTGCTCTCTGTTTTCCTGAAACATGGAGTGACCATGTTTAATGATAATAGCACATGATATTTTAGGCATAGTAGCAAAAATAACCAGACGTGGAGTTGTGGGCTGTGGGTTCTGGTCCCGGCTCTTTTTCTAAATAGTTGAAGCCTGGACAAGTCCTATAATTTCTCTGTTCCTTAATGCTTCATCTGTCAATTCTCATTTCTTTTTTTTTTTGGTCAATTCTCATTTCTTTGGGCTTTCAGTTTTTATCTGCAAAATAGGGAGGTTGTATTTGGTAAATTACTAGTTGTATAATGTTTTCATATATTATGTGCAACTCATAACCTTGAAAAGTTAAATGTGGCAAAAATGGTCATCAGTCTCCAATGAAAGAAAGTGGAGCGTAGAAGGTTACTCAATATGTCCTGCATCTTTTAGTAAGTGGTAGAGCAGAGACTCAGGTACAAACCCTGATGTATTACCTGCTATATAACAAATTTCCCTAAAACTTAACAGCTTAAAAAAAAAAAACCCTATTGCACACATTTTTTGTGGGTCAAGGATCTGGAGACAGCTTGGCTGGTGGGTCTGGTTCAAAGTCTTATGAGATTACATTCAAGCTTCTGCTAGAACTGCATTTTCATCTGAAGGCTTAACTGGGGGAAGATGTGCCTCAAAATTCACTTACATGGTAGGTGGTAGGTTTCAGTTTGTCCATGGCTGTTGGCTGGAGACTTCAGTTCTCCATCACATGGGTCTCTCCATAGACTACCTGAATCTCCTGACCATAGGAGGGCTAGCTTCTCTCAGAGCAAATGATCTAAGAGTGTGTACATGGGAAAGAAAGAGTGCTCAAGACAGAAGCCACAGTCCTTTATAATCTAATCTCAGAAGTTAATATACTATCATATCCACCATATGCTATTAGTTACACAGACTAACCCTGATAGAATGTGGGAGGGGCTACACAAGAATATGAAGACTAGGAAACAGGGATCATTGGGAGCCACCTTGGAGGCTGACTACCCTGCTCTGCTACTCTACCATGTGTTCACATTTTATTTTATTTATTTTTAAGATTTTATTTATTTATTTGAGAGAGAGAGAATGAGAGAGAGCACATGAGAGGGGAGAGGGTCAGAGGGAGAAGCAGACTCCCTGCGGAGCAGGGAGTCCGATGTGGGACTCGATCCAGGGACTCCAGGATCATGACCTGAGCCGAAGGCAGTCGCTTAACCAACTGAGCCACCCAGGCGCCCATGTGTTCACATTTTAAAAGACATCATTCAGATGAGAGCCTAGGGTCAGTGAAGTCTCAGCAAAGAAAAAGAAGAGTTGAAGAACCAAATGGAAATTTTAAAACTAAAAAATATAATAATGGAAATTAATACTAGATGGGCTCAACAGCAGAATGGAGCAGACAGGAAAGAATTAATGAACTTGAAGATAGACCAATAGAAGCAATTAAACCTCTAGATCCAACTACCAACCTACAGGAAATACAGAAGACAGAGAAAAATGTTAAACTACACCTCAGAGATGCAATCAGCAAAATCCAAACCCTAAGAAACTCTGCAAGACTATTCTGTTTCCTCATTGAATAATTCTGTGAAAAAAATTGCACATGAGGGAAACTTAGAGACTTAACCAGCCAGAATGTGTGGATTATTAGTTCTATCCTGATTGTAACAAACAAATGTAAAATAAATAAAACACATGACATTTATGAGACAACTAGAAGTTTGAACATTGAATGGAGGTTTGATATTAAAGAAGTTAATTTTTTAAGGTTGAATAATCATGTTAAGGTTATGTTCATTAAAAAGTCCTTTCAGCAGTATGTACTGGGTGATTTCAGATGGAATGATGTTTGAAATTTGTTTCAAAGTAATATGGGATAAGGGAAGTGGAAGAGGGAGAGATACATAGGGTAGAACCTGCACTGTGATAATGGCTGGTGGATCTGGTGATGGGACCATGGGGAGCGGGTATTACACCTTTCTGGATTTTTTTTCCTGTGAACATAGGAATTTCCAATAATTAAAAAAATTTTTTTAAAGCCATTATATCCTTTTACTCCACAAAGCTGATTATCTGACCCTTCCCTCCCCT